AGCAGGGTTAAAATGGAATGTTGGTGTTCGAACATCACTATCTACGCAGTATTGCACGAATCTGACGGGGCAACCGGCCTGAAAATGTTACTAAAATCCCCGGTAGATCTAGAAGTATGAAATTCCGTTCAGATGCTGACGAGAGAAAAGCTCGTGAAAATTGACGGCCTAAGAGTAGCAAGCTCGGATTACCCCATTCGATTGCTCAGAGGCACCAGGCACTCCTGATGGTCTTGGGTGTGGGTTTCACTCCTTGGTAGATCGTTAATTCCCCACGAGTTGATACATTCAGATGCGATGGAAATGTTTGTGATAACCGACCAAGAGCTCTGGACGGCCGTTTCGTCCTGTCTGGGACTCGTCAACAGTGAGTACCTTTTGGGTCCCTGTCAGGACTCGAACCGCAACCAGTCGGATCGGGACTTCAAACCCGTGAGCTACTCGGTCGACGATCATCACCTTGTGCGAAAGGCTCGATCAATTTATAGTAACAAGCTTGTATTAGCCCATTCGATTGTTGTGAGGCACCATGCACTGCTGATGTGTCCCAAACAGGACGAAACAGCTGTCCAGTGCTCTTTGACGGCTATCAAAAACATTTTCATTGCATTTGAATTGACGGTCCACCCCAAACCTTTTTACGATAAAAGGTGGCTCCCTCTTGGGTGTTATCAGTTGAAATGCACCAAATCTGTTTACAGGAGCATAACCCGTCAGGCTTTGGTGAATCATTGATCGTTTCTGTTCTCATTAATGAGTCATACACCGACCGCAAAAAACCGCCGAGAGATAAGTTGAGTTCCGGTTTTCTGTTAAACCTCAGCCACCTAAATACCTCGGCACTTGACACCTGTCACAAATACGAATAGTTTCAGGTCAGTTTTGGATTTTACAAACATTAACCTTGCACTTTCATGTGACGGTTTTGGTTGCTGTCTTTTGGCCGTCCATTCGAACAAAAGAGCAGAATAAAAATTGGAATGTTGAGAGCAAATTCAAGGGGAAGATAGCGATTTCATACGGACTGGGGTTGCGAGACCATTCATCATGTGTACGAGCGCCACTGTTTGCAACACCGAGCCATATCAATCAGTGTATCTAACCATCTGTGATCATCATGTCGGGGTTCCCCGCCAGGAAGCCTAACGGAACCTGTGACCCAGTACCGTGGTTAGGGTTTTCATACTCATGACAGGTCCTCGCTTGACGGCCCTTAATCTTTCTCCAACCGCTACCTGCCTCGGCAAACATCTCTTGCCGTGGCAACCTATCTGGTGACATGCGTACCACATGTACAAACCAACGTAATCTATGGGGGTCGACTACTTGCTCCAGTGGACGACCGCAATTACCTAAAACTCCGCGCCTAACCTCAGCATTGCTCGTCTGGCTGCACCACCAGATTCGTAGAATGCTGCCTAGACAGCGGTGTTCAAACACCGACAGTCTATCTTCATCCTGCCTCCTTAATGGCCAGGTTTTTACACCGTATAGCAGAACTGGCTGAACTGCCGCGGCATACAGTAGACCAATCGACAGATAGCCGGGTGTCACGACGGCGCCACAAATGTCTCAAGCTGGCAAATATCAACCGAGCCCTCTATATTCGAACTGACACCTCATCCGTGATACGTCCACCAGGTGAGATATAGTTGCACAGATAGCAAAATTTTCCACTTCCTCTACTACATCCCCAGTCAGGGTGAGGTAGTGGGTTTGACCTACCCAATCCTGTAGCAGCGTTTTGCACTTTGAAGGTACCAAAACGCATACCAAACATGGTAGCACTGAAACTATCAGGAGAAGCTTGCAACTTACCTGGATCTTTACTTAGTAGCACAATGTCGTCTGCATACAATAGATCATACGGTCTGAAACCTGGGAGTTAATCGCTATTGCTATCCTCGCACGAGGATGAAGCTGTTTTTATAACTGTATCTATAACAAAGTTAAATAAAAAATGAGAGAGGTCAAGACTGACGAACGCCTGTTTCTCTGGTGAACTGGAGCGAAAAGTGCCGTAAGTTCAGACTCGGCTCCGGGTGTTAGTATAAAGGGACCGTAATATTGAAAAAAGCTTCTCGTGCACGCCCTTCAGGGAAAGGCAAAGCTAGAATATAGAGCGGTCGACAGAGTCGAAGGCCACTTTCATATCGAAAAAGGCAGAGATGGTGGGTCTACGAAAGGAGTATTCATCTTCTAACATTTGACAAAGAGTGAAAATGTGTTTTGTGTTTGCTCAACTTGAGGTTACAAAAAGACCCTCTGCGTGTTTCGTTTGTACGTAGTCCCGTGTCGTGCGCCAACAAAAAAGCCTGTTTTACCTTCGAAATGCGTTTGCTTTCTAGAAGAAATCAAATCTCTCATGTTTTGTTCAAACGTACTTGAACCGAAAATGTCTATCCTAAACTGATTATTCACTCGTTGACTGTGATACAACTTAAATGCAGCTGAATGTGTTTACTAGGGCATTGACGAAAGCTATCGTCTACATCACCAAAATACCTTCGACCAAGAGGTCCTTTGTTATTTTTACTTCTTTCAAGAAACCCTGTGACACATCTGGCCCTGTGTTGTTCATTTTGAAAAGCGCATTGCTTGGAACAAACCAAACGGAGCCACTTATCCTCGGTAGTCGTAGTTGTGCCCAGCTTTGTAGAATTATAGTAACCAATCAGACTCGAAAGAAAATGCTCGCATCATGCAATTGCATAGCGATTTCTGAATATCCCTTATTCTTTGAATGCCATTTTACTATTTCAACCAACAGACACGTGAAGCGTTCATTAACAAATATTTTCTTGATGAGAAAGTTCATTAGCACTGTGAGTAACCCTATTTAAAATAATCCTTGTTTCCAACAAAAAGTTTCATTTACGGCTCAACAATGTGAGTACCAAATTTATTGGTTTTCTCGTTCATTCACGTAAAACTCAAACCTAAACCAGCCAAGGGTTTAGCATTATTGAAGTACTCACGTGTGGGTGTTGTTTTTTATCCATCAGGCCAAATCGTACTTTAATAGTGAACCTTCCTAATACTTGCACTATTAAATCATTTGATCTCTTTCGCTTATTGAATGTCAGTCACGAGAACATAACCACAATAACTCGGCTAAATTCTCTGGAAATATTCTGGTGTACGATTGAGAGCACATAATTTCATCCACAACTTTAATTGACCAGTGGAAACAATAATCTCACTTCAAATATTTTATCAGACTCAAGAACTACACTTTGTTTTGTATGTGTATAGAAGTTTTACATAATCTGGTCACAGCAGTGATAATATTATCACTTTTTGAGTGAGCGAACAGACCGGTGATAATTTGGGACCCATGCGTGTGTCCTAATGTTTTATTCCCGCTGAGATTCTATCAGACTGAGCCCCATGATCTCGTTCATCTTATTTATCTTCAGCTATTCTGTACTTAAAGAAGCTTATCAATGCCAAAACGAACATCGGTTTTGCTATGGATGTATCTATACATGGTCCACCGGTCCGAACTTGGGGCACGATGGTTGTCCAGTGTGCCGATGTGACGGTCTGTATGCGAAAAACTTTGATGTAAGTCTCGCTGGTAATCAGTTTTGAAGAATTCTTACACACACTCGCTAACTTTTCGTAGCAAAACCATGCCCTTACCAACGATGTTTGAAGACTTCAATCAGATTGGAAAACCCGTACCTGAGAGAAAATCATTATCAAGGCCCTTCTGTTTCTTCTTATACTTCGAAAAGAAGTGTATATACCATTTAACATTTACTAATGTGTGGTCGCAAAGCGATCTGATTCACACAACATCTAGGCGAAATTTACTTACATCCCCATCTAACAGAAAATTTATTCAAGTGAGAAAAGCAGGAACGAATGATTTTGTTGCTCCTCCAAAATTCTGAACTCACCGTCACCGAATAAAAAAGCAGGAAATAGAGAATTGATTCACAAAGTAATTTCATCGCTAAATACAAGAATTTGGTTCGCTACGACTGCAGTGTATGGTTTCTCATCTCATGAAGTGTTAAGTCCAGATGGCTATGTAACGTCGAGTGACTCGCAACCCCAGAAGCCAAGTTCAGATATTACTCAACTCCAAATACTAGCGAATAATGATGCGGTAAAGAGTCACAAGTGTATGTACAACACACCTCAAATTGCTGCTTTTCTCCGGGGGATATGCCTGAATCGGCCAAACGAGCAAAGACAATCGAGAGCCAAGCATGCAGACAAAATAGTTCGTCACTCCGGAAAGCGAACAAATGAAACGTGAAGTAGCTTTAGAGCGCATATGTGCACGTGGGTTAGCGTACGGAATGTGTAGGACAGAGGACCAATCAGAATTAGATCAAGTAAACCGGTACGAAAGTTAGAGGGTAGAGTGAGTTATATCCGGGTCAGGGACGGTTTTCACGAGCGGAGGTGAAATTTCAGTGGATAACAGATTTGTTGCCGTTAGCCAGAACCTTTCACCAATGATTGCTCGCGATCTTTCACGTAGTCTGTTCAAGGCGCAATGAAACCCAAGGTTGGGATGATCAAAAGGTATATTGTGGAAAATTTGAACTGTTGGAAATGAGCTGCTACTAGCTTAGGCTAGTATATTAGCAACGACAGTGGATATCTGAAAGTATATCTGATCAAAGCAGAGAAAGTGTGGGATACAGAGCTCACCGCGGAGAATTGTGCCAATGTGGTTTATTCGAGCTCATTAAAAGAACGAGAGAAGTAAAAATAAAACTCAACTCTGAAAGTTGAAAAGTTGCTATTCTTAATTAGGAAGTTTCCTCTGAAAGATCACTATCGCCGTTGTTTGCCAAATGTGCTGAACTTCAACGGTAAACTTGATTGTGACCAATCAGGTAGAAAGGTTTCTTATCCAGGAAGGTTAATAATAATCTCTGCCTAGTTCTTATGATAATTAGGTTTAATTAGGGATTTAAGTTGCTAAAGGACATCTGAACCTTGATGTTTGTGATAGGTGTCATGGTTGTGTAACCATGTCCCGATAGTGCTCACTGTCGCAGGATTTGTTACGAAATGAACCTGTTCTGGTGTCTTTAGCACCATCGTTTGGTTCAGTTGGTTCTTATCAGTGATCTGATGGTCACGTACAGCGTATATAGCTCCACTGGGAAACTGAAGACAAAGAGGTAAGAAGAGAAACTGCCATCGTGAATCTGTCATTTAAAGGAACGTTACAAGATCGTACGAACTTGGTTGGCGAACGAAGAAATGAGATCATTCGTGGTGAACGAAAAGGGCAAGTCTGGGAACAAAATGTGATGGGTGATTCACAACATATTTGGGTTCAAACAATGGCAGATGAAGCTAAGAGACCAAACAAATGTGTTAACGGGAGCGCGTGTATGATGACAAACGAATTTAACATGAAGTATATATAAATCTGAAAAAGGTTAGCCCTATTACCAAATTCCCAATTCACACGTGCTTTGAAAATGTTCCCGTAAATTTCACAGTCAGTGACTACGCAAAACAAATCAGGCGAAGTTCCGAAAATCATATGATTTAAACCAGGTTATTTCATAACTTGCTTTTATGGTACGCTGAGAACTTTTCTAAGATACACGCAACAGTTTCTCTTTCAAGCTACTTCCGTACCGAAATACTTCCCCAACTCCAGCATATTATTATCTGATTGATTTATCCGTGGGGAATGAACGTAGTTATACTAGGATCGTCATGCGCTGAATGAGACTTGTTGGATAAGTAGGTCATAAATGAACACATGTGGAGGTAATATTCTTTCAACTAACTCTCAAAAGATTAAAAAGACGCTAGATTAAAGGAGCATATTGATCACCTTATTATCTAACTTCGGTGCCTGATGTGGACCACCCAAGTGAATTCACACGTAATCATGGAGAAAACCACTTGTCCATTGGAAATCTGGATTGAGTTTGAATATTCACGAAAAAGGTCAACCCGTCAGTCAATCAATCAGTTTGTCTGTCTGTCTGTGAGTCAGCTAGCTTCAGTCAGTCAGTCACTCACGCTGGTCCGCTGATTTTCTCGCCTACTCAGTGCATAATATAAACAAACGCCTAGGTATCTAATGAAACCACCACATAGTGCTTGTAAGCATTCAATAGGCCTCTATCCCAAGGTGAACTGCGCTTCAGAAAACCAAGCCTTACGGTTTGTGTGGCAGAGCAAGGCTAACTTGAGCAATATCGGATGGCCATCGATGGCCTGCTTAACGTCTATTCTATTTTATTCCATATTACAATGATGAAAGTTTTGGCATTCTATGGTAAACTGCTGATCCTTCAGTGATATTGGGCATATCAAACTTTCATGTGGGTAATGGAGGATTTGGTTAAGTTTCAAATGACAATTCGTCGTGTATATGGCAAATGAAGCGTGAACTGAAAAGCTCGGAAGCACTGGACAGCTGTTTCGACCTGGTTGGGTCTCATCAGCAGTGCGAATCCATCGACCCGACTGGGGATCGAACCCGGGACTTCATGGGCAGAACGCAAGCGTGCTACCCACTACGCCACCGGGCAGCTGATCAGACCGTTTTTCATTTTCCATTTACACGATATAGCACAACCCATCTTTGAGAGTTTGTTGCGGGCCACGGACCCTGCTCAACTCAGCACTAGCCTCCAGGGTTATGACTTGGTTGGAAACATTCACAACCTGACTGATTATTTCATGTGGGTAATGGAGGATTTGGTTAAGTTTCAAACTTTAACAACGATGATGGACCATCTGATGGGTAGTTGTCTTGCTACGAATGGACAACAAATCTATCTTCACTGAATAGCGATTTGATCACGCGAACGAATTATCCACTGGCATAAATAGTAAAATATTTAGCAAACACATTGTTTCAAGTCATTTTCTCAATACAGTTAAAATTACTAATACTATTGCAGTTTAAGTTACTTAGAGGAGATAAGTACATTTGGAACAATGCCCATTCGAGTCATTAGCCGGAACCATAGACAAATCAAAAGACAAACACAACTGTTTCGCAGGTCTCGAAAATTACATCAAAGCCTTCAAAAATCTACGTGTTTGTCAATGGTATACAATTTTCAAGAAGACATTAATGGGAACATCGAGTTCAGGTCATAACGATAAACTTGTAACGTTGAACTCGGGTCAAAAGGACTTGCGCATATTGCGAATGAAAATCCTAAGTGCACAAATGTTGCTTTTAATCACCCCGATTTTCATTCGTTTTATTCTACCGTCTATAACATATCAAGTTCAGTCTATGGGATTGCTTTTATCTAATTTTCATTGGTGTTGTCGTTAGGACGCCACAAACATCAAGATTCTCATATATTAGTTTATTGATTGAAAACAAGAAAGTGCACAATACTACATGAGGGGATCAATGAGCGCTTGTAATCGTACTTACATTTCTCTTGATTTGACAGCTTGTGGACAGAATAAATCGAAAACGAGTGCGATGTCTGGCCAACGGATGTAACTGGATGGGTATGCTGAATGAGTACGCACCCCATGAGCATAGGCGTTACAGCCCGTACGAGCTGGACATACTCATATCCAGTTACCCAAAAGAGCCGTTAATCAAGTTTGCCTCCGGGAAAGACAAGGAACAGGAAGAGATAACGTCAGAGGAACAACTGGGAGAAAGTATTCAACCAAAGCTTGAACAGGCAACCGTGACGGAAGTAAATCACGAACGAGCTGAAATCAGTACTCCGGTCGGTTTATTACCGGTAACATGTGAACCAGTAACCACGTCATTGGAATGTACTGAATCCAATGGACCAGTTCAACAGGACACCCCTGCCGGCCTACATAGACTTGGGAGATATGCTGGAACGGCCAGAAATTGCACCCCAGTACGAACACTCATTCGTCGAACACACGTAAGACGAAATACAACCATCGGTCATACAGATCCGGTAATCTCACGCGAATCAAACGTAAATCGACCAGCAACACAGAACTCACAACTCCGTATTCCCAACAGACACTCGGCCAACACACCGACGACCATGCCCAATATCCCACGACCACTGGTAACATCACGAACCACGAGGATCAATCCGACCACCGCAACCCCAAGTGCGGATCACATTTCACGAACAACAACAAACCCGCGACAACGCAGACGATCTAGACATGCGAGTAGAAACTCCGCAAGGCGATCAGTTAGTCCAGCTGTGAATAGTACACAACAAAGGGGGGGAAATGTAAGAGAAATCATGAGCTCCACACCGAATCGATGGAACTCTGCAGCACTTGAGCAATCAATCGGTGGTGAGAACAATGCGATCATCGAACTTATCCCACCAACAGAGTCAACAGGGAGTCCGTTGCTACCAACACCACCGCCAGTCATTTCTACATCAACACCACCATCTACAACATTCTTAGCAGCGCGAAATCAACTTTTTCCAGTGGAATGCAGGAGCGAGGGTGAGATGCACGGTCACGAGAATCCAATGACAAACTCAGAAACCACTCAGGAAGAGTCAATAGATCGCAGAAATGAAACATGTACCCTACCTGCGATTAATCCAAACGCAACTTTGACTACAGGGTCAACAGTTCGTCCGTCGTATGAACACCATGCATCCGTCAACGAGGACCGTCTCAGTTCTGAACATCCGAGCAATCGATCACAACATGATTACCCAGACGTCCCTTCGCGTCGTCCATTGGAATTCCGACGTCTAGTTCCACGACGCCAAGGACGTGTTGTCGAACAGCTCCGAGAAACGCGTGAACAGCTAGCTGCAATGCTTCGCTTGATGACCATGGAATTGGAAGAGCGCAGGCAACATGTAATAGCTGCCACATTGGAAACCGCAGCACGAGGACGAGTCTTACGTAACCTAAATAATCAATTATCCGGCCGAACAGATTCGGAAAGCAACGAACTGGACACAGAACGTGAATCACAATCAACAACAGTTGAAAGATCCAGTGCAAATTCAAACCCACAAAACCGACAAAATCACAATCATGCGAATTCTTGGAGTGTGCTGCGCAATCTACCCACCCCAGATCGTACAACACACCAGCGGCAACCTTTTCGCCTACTCCGTTTCACCAGTGGGACCGACAATACCTCCACTTCCCCACCGGAGACCACAGTTGACGAATGGACAAGACGAACAGTTTTGGGGGAACCAGCTTCACGGACAAATTCGGAAAGTGGGCGTTTGGTTGATAGTGAACATCCACCCACTGACTCATCATCAAACACGCGTCTCTTAACCCGATTACGAGTTGGTGCAATCACTCAGCCCCCAGCTCCGCCTATTCTATTGGTCTCGCGTCGCCGTAATTTGAGCGCCCTCTTGTCAGATCTACGGTACGCCAATTCGACCGTGTACAGCGGATGGAGCAGTGACGATGAGGACGAAACATGAAACGTAGCCTTGAAATGTGAAGGCAAATCAGAAAGAAACTAATGAATGCATGTCCTTACGACATTGCTTTCCTCCTATCTTCTCCAACAAACAGTACTACAAGTGCAGACGTAATTGTCTTTTAACTACTGTAAATTAATGTGATTTCTATTGCCAAGCTTAATTTAAAAGAACTGCGCAGCATATCATACTTTTATTTGGATGTAATGTTGAACGAATGTAGATCTGGATGAGGTTGATGTTATTGCTGGAGGGATGCATGAGGTGGGAATGTTGCCTGCAGACACTTCATAGCCCGGCTGGGCAATGTTAACAGGGTAACTTCGGGAAAGCCTTTCTCACTGCATACTGCTTCTATACCAATGCTTCATTGTGAACCCATAAATTTTGCTCTTCTGTAGACAAAAAGTGTATTTCAAATGGGAATTCAACGTGTATATAGCAAATGAAGCGTGAACTGAAAAGCTCGGAAGCACCGGACAGCTGTTTCGACCTGGTTGGGTCTCATCAGCAGTACGAATCCATCGACCCAACTGGGGATCGAACCCGGGACTGCATGAACAGAACGCAGGCACGCTACCCACTACGCCATCGGGTAGCTGGTCAGACCGTTTTTCATTTTCGATGAAAAAGTATATTGTTGACTTGCTATGAGAAGTCTTTCGAATAGTTCACAATATTTAAATTCTACACAGAAGACATGTTTAGACAAACGGAAGAGTGGTTGGGCAGAATTTCATTTTGCGATTCGTTAATATCTACGAGTGCTGGCTATTCTTCCTCCAAAAGATCAAGTAAAAAATGATCATCAGTCCTCAGAATCAAAAAATTGGATAGTTCTGTAGTAATTGGAACAGTCAAATGGTGCGCATTGCGAGGAACTACATTAATGTCCCAGTTTTCAACGTTCCGATATAATTTTTCCGCCGTAGTACCGAAGTCCGAGGTAAGGGAAAATTGAATTAAACCTGGAGTTGCAAGAGCAGTTCAAGTTCGGTTTGCTTTTCCTGTAACAGATAATTCTCTGAAATGTCTTCTTTACAGTCAGTGAATATATATTTTTTGAACACAGTGAAAAAGGGTATATTTGCCATGGAAAAAAGTATGCATTGACAATAATGTGACCGCTCAGGCCTATCACATGAAGTTACTGTTTTCATGTCACCTTAACTTCACTAGGCTTTGATGCACACACAAGTAATTCGAAGGTTTCTTTCGCATTGTCATCTTCTGAATTCCTTCTCTAGCAGTTTTTTTCCAAATGGGATGATGATCACAAGGGTTTGTTTACACTATCCGTTCCGGTATAAGCCCCGTGTCGCGATCCGATCACCCTGGGCCTGTTTCCTCTGGT